TCATGGGTCAGAGTATTACAGAGAAAAGAGAATTATACAGAATGTGAACTCCGAAGACCTACATAGGATCAGCAGCGCGCTGTCAGTGTTCATGCAGGAGGAAAAGACCTGAGGTTAAGGAAAGAGTCCTAAATAGTTAGAGATTTGAATCCCTGGCCCAGGGCGAATCAGTGTCCTTTCTCACAGCCAGACTGGAAAACCTCACAATTCGTGGAGCATCAGGCAGAGAACTGGAGGGCTCTTACCTCACAGTGGAGAATCACTGGCTCTAGAGTAAACTTGGTTCTGATCTAATATAATGAATACAAAACCCAGTAGACTCAGATTGTTCCCAAGTTGCTGTAATGCCCCAGAACAAAGCTTAAGAATATTTATAGGAAGGCAATTACAGGCAGAACTCAACAAGGTTAAATTCATAATGTCTGCAATCTAATAAAATTTTATCACACATATAAGAGCAGGAAACTACAACACACAGTAAGGGAAAAATCAGTCAAATGAAACGGATCCAAAACTGCCACAGATGTTACAATTATCTGAGAAGGACACTTAAACAGTAATAGCTTTATACAAATTGTTATTTTAAAAAATAGACTCACAATTAGCTTCTAAACCTGTTTTCTCTCCCTGCATGTGTCCTCTTTGATTCCTCTGCTTTTGCAAGCTTTACTTTATATTTTTTCCTGTTTCAGTGAAATGAAGTTTGTATTTCTACACCACTGGCTTTAACTGGCATCTTGACACTAAAATTATCAAAGACTCATGGAAAATATAAGGTGAGATGAAGGCCAAGCAACTATCAGTAGTTAATGGAACTATTATTTGTTAAGTGGTCCCTATATACTATCTAGCCTGCAGCTATAATCAGAGATCCCATATCAGGGCAGCATGGGACATCTGTAATCAAACCTACATGATACCTATGCCACAAGTTTTGACAAACTGATGTCTCTTTCTTCTAGCATGACATTTCTGTGTACAGTTATATAATAGAAAAAGGGTTGTAAAAACACACCACGATGACCAAATGACCAGAAAGATTTCTTAGACAAAAAAATTTACAAACAAAAAGGAGTTACCTGTGGTGACTTCTCAGATCCCTGCAGACCCTGTCTTGATTTTTAGTTGTCTCTTCAAATCCTGATGCTACTGTTAATCTTTTTCTTTATATCTTGATAAAGCATTGTGAATTTAGTGTGCAAATATTTGTAATTAACAGTGAAATAAAAGGCCTTGTGGTTTCGCAGCTATTGGCTACCAAGTGAACCTTCAAACTTGGTGAGACTGAGGAAACTGATGTAGCTTGTCAATTCAGAAAGCTCCCACATTGTGGAAAGACGCAAATGTTTCTATGTTACTGGCAATAATTGAGCTGTGTCCCTTCAGCTTTTTTTCTTAGCCAAATCACCAAAATGAAGAACATGAGCCTCCCTCAGATTTGTCTCTCTTCAAATGTTTTGGGGATGTGGCCTGTCCCGTGAGTTACCCTAATTTATACATTCACCAACTGTTCTGGGAGGCTTTCTGTTAATGTAACAAATGAATGACATAAGTCAATTTAAAAGTGGAAAGTTGATTGAGGAATGGTGATACACACTTGTAATCTCAGTTACTTAGGAGAGTGAATCAAGTTTGTAGGCTTGAGGCCAGCCTGGACAACTTAATGAGATCCTGTCTCAAAATATTAAAAAGTGGTAGTGATGTAGCTTAAAAGGAGAGTACTTGCCTAGCATGCAGGAGGCCCTGGATTCAATTTCCAATACAACAATAAACAAAGAGGAAAGCTTTATTTTGGTTCACTCAGATGGTCCCATTGCTTTTGAGCCTGGAGCAAGGCAGCGTGTTCTGGTGGGGAGGGTGTGGGAGAGCAAAGCTTTGTATCTCATGGCAGCTGGCATCTCAAGATCCCTTAGGAAGAGACCTCTCCACCTCCTCCATAACCCAAATCCTCCCTCTGAGCCCCACCTCTTAGCAGTTCCACCACCTTTCAAGCCAAGAACCAAAGCCTTTAACATACAGGTCTTTGGGGGAGTCTATTCCAGATCCAAACTCTAGCCCCAGTAATATCCTGATGAGATTTTTTTACATTAATTTTAGTTGCTACTTAACATGAAGAGAGTTGCCTTGCAAGCACAACCCCACTGGGTATCTATTTCCTTTTCTCTAAAAAAGAGAAGAGCAATTGTCTAGGGCTGATAGTATCTGACAATTAGTAGTCTTATCAAAGTAAATCTGAAAGTTCAAATATATGACACCACTTCTGAATATATTCTCCCACTGTTACACCCTGCAGGTTAGCTGTCTGCACCACAGGTAACATAGCTAGCCAAGCCTTGGGGTGTGATTCTAGGAAGGGGCACTACAGTGACTCCCATAACTCAGTAAAAACAATTAACCACCAGAGGGCAGTAAGATTACGAGGCAAGTAAGTGATGTGGCCACCAAATGCACCTGTGCCTCTTCACATTCTTTTTCAATTAAATCCCTCAAAGTGCTTTACCTGTGTGCCTTACTGTAGAATCTGGGTTGTGCTAGGAGTCCAAGGACTAACCATGACCTCCAACCGCTCAACAGTGCAAATATATGATTTTAAGAAAGAATGGCTGTCCTGTCTCCTTTTCATTCCCTGAGTCTGCAATAAGCGCTATGTGACAGGCAGCGTTCCATGAACTCGGGATGCTTCCATTCACAAAGCAGTGGTCCCTGATTTTGTGGAACTGACATGCTGGGAGGATGAAGCCCACATAAATAAGTAACTAAATAAGTAACAGGAAGTGTCAGAAGGTGATGGGCTACAAGAGGAATATAAAGGAGATCTGGGCCCAGGGACTGGAGATGCAGGGAAAAACTGCAACTTTAGGCACAACGGTGAGCGCAGGCCTTGGAAGGGGACACCTGAAGAAAGAAGACATGCAGTACAGCTCACAGTGGGCACTGTTTCAGAAACGGGGAAGAACACAGGGCACAAGTGTCCCTAGTAGTAAATGGGGGGAGGGGAAGTAGGAGACACACTGTAAAGACTTTTGTTTTTATTGTAAGACTTCATGGGGAGGAGACTCTTTTAAAGTGTCCCCTCGGCTGAAGCCTTAAGGAGACTTATCTCCTATGGAAGTTTCCAAATATTCAGTTTACCAGTTCATCAAAAAGCGTAATGAAGGGCAGGTAAAGGCAGTATGGCTGTCAAGATTCTGCAAATAGCAGCTGATGCAGTACAATCCTCCTGTGTCACAAGCAAGACACCATGCCACCTGCTTTACACACTTTCTTGTTTAATTCTTCCAATACTTATGATTTCAATGCACTGTTAAAAATAAGTCAAAGGAGATATGATTGGGTAAGTTAGTGATTGGCTTTGAGGCTAGGTAAAGAGAACTCATGGAAGACATAACTTCCTAAGCCAGGCTGAGTGCTCCAGTCTGGACACATGGAAGAGGGTAAGGGGGTTGGGAGTTCAAACTCATGTTGCTTCATTTTAAATTTTATCCATCACTGAACCCTCATTTATCAGGGGCCTGGCCTAGGACCACTGATCTCCTGCTCAGGGGTATGATGACAGTAAAACACAGACAAGAGATATGTTTTAGTTACTAGGGACACCAGGATGGTCAAAGCTCAGTGACAGACTAAGACATGTGGCATGGGTATCCCTGGCCTTTATTAAGTGTACTGCACAATGGGGCGGGGGGATGCTGGTGGGTTACAGGAAGCAGGTACGAGCTACTGACACGGTCAAGGTCCAAGAATTGAGGAACAATGCATTTTGGGAAAACCACACTTGAACAGATGACGATTAACTAGTAACTTGATTGTTACTATCTGAAACTCCTGGGCTAGATGGAATCTGCACGAGTCAAGTCCTCAGCTGCCCTATTATCCTGCTCTGAGGAACCAGAGCTTCAGACTGTTAGTCTCAGCTCTGGTTGTTGGTTTAAAGAGTATCCGCTCTTAAGCCAGCTGCAAGACTCTCAATTTATTTTTTGTGCCAATGTATTAATTATTCCCTGCTCTGCACTGCCTCAAGCTGGTCCTCAGCATTTCCTCTAAGGAACTGCTTTCAAATCGTGCTCGTTTAACAACCTCAGGAAAGCGCTCTGCAGCCAGGATAGGATCCTGTGAAGTAAGAACAGAAACAAAGCGTTTAGAAATACTAAAAAGTCACTTGAAAGAGCAACTTTATGCCTGCTGAATCTAATAACAAATTGGGGCTTGTATTTAGCATATGTTTTTGTTTCTTTACATTTCATTTTCCACCTGTTTTTATAGTATCATACCCGAGAGCCTGAATAGAGACACCAGCCAGGTTATATATAAAATAACTCTGACATACAGAGTGCAGAAAACCAGCTCCTTGTCTACAATAAAAAGCCCAGGAAACCAGGCTGCTCGGTCACACCTGCAGGAAGACAGATTGCTTTCTCTAAGAGTGACGATTTACCAAGCGAGACAGGCACTCCCGTAACAGGTGACCCCGAACGACCAGCATTTAACTCATAAGTCAGTTTCCCTAACTTCTGTCCCTGCTCCCAATTTAGGATCAACTCGAGAAAGCCAAATGCACCCCAACCTCCGGATCGCTGCAGCTTCCCCTCCTCTGCCTGCACTAAGCTACTGCCGAGAAACCAGCGCCAGGGGATCAAGGGCGCTGATTCTGGCTACGGCAAGCTCTGAATAAAGTTTTGCAGCTTCTCACTCGGTCGGTCTACATTTATTTCGAGGCGCCAGGAGTCCCTGGAGGAGCTGGAGACACACGGCCTGGGGTAGGGCTTTTTCCAGGCAGGACCCCGTGGCCGGGGGGCAGCTGGTGCTAAACTCGGGATTAGGAGGTGGGGGTCAATGGGGGCGCTGGCGCCTGGCAAGCAGAGGCTGTACCCACAAGAGCTGGCGTTAGCAGCTGAGGCACTCTCGCCCATAACCTCTGCTCTTTGCAGCTCCAGCGCTCAGGCATGCGTGGGTGGGGCTTCCTGTGCAGCTCTCTGCGCACGCGCGCACTCGGCTCCCGCCCCTCGGGCTGACGTCACGTCCGGCGGCCGGTGTGGCGGCGTTGGCGTCGGGGTCGCCGTTCTATGACCTGCAGGGCGTGGGAGTGTCCCAACGCCGCCGCCCATGCGCGCCCCCGAGCCTGCGGTCCTGCAGCGCGCGCTGCCGGGTTCTCGCTGTCTCCCGCGACCCAGGTCCCCATCCGGGTGTATTTCCACCGCTGGAGGTGACGCGTACAGAATGGCGACAGTGGGAGCTGGGGTCTAGGACCGGGTCGTGCCTTCCTTTCCGGTCAGACGCAGGCTCACGGGCCGCAGGTGTCGCTGACACTATTTCTGCCAGCCGGTCGCCTTTGCCATTCTAGTGCCATCCTAGAGTGAGTGTCAGACAACAAGGAGCTTTGAATGCTAAAAAGAGGCAACTCCCCAACTCATTTTGCATTTTAATAGTTTGGATTTTTTTAAAGCCCCTGATCATCAAAGCTCAGAACTCTTAGAACTGGTTTTCCAAAACGAATCCTAATCTTCCCTGTGACCGAATCGGTTTGGGATTCAGAGGACATCTTTTCAATAAGGAAGAAATCCTTTGAATAACTGAGCATCTCCTTTTTGCCCCAGCACTTGCAGCGATTGAGTGAGGCAGTGCAGTATTTTTGAAAAACGCGTTACAACTTCACTGTTCTTTAAACACCAACATGGTTTGAATTTTTCTTGTTGCTAGACCTTCCACATTAGGAAGATTCTTGTGGAACAACGGGCATCACGGAGCTGTTAGATCCTCAGGCCAGATTTTATCTCCTTTTTCTACCTCCAGTTTTGTGGTGTCTCTTGTCAACTGTTTGTTCCTTACGCTCTTCCTTATTTAATCGTGTGTATCTATTGTGGGTTTTGAATTTTGATGGTTGCATTTGATAATATTTAAAGAACAGTAAGGGAGGAACTTGTGACTTGTTACTTTTCTGTAATTTAAGTTTTCCTTTTACAAAAAGCACAGGTTAGAAAGCACAGCTAAGCTAAAGAAAGGCCATTAAGAGCATCTGGAATCCTATTACCTAAAGATAACTATTGTTACTGTTTTGGAATATAGTTAATTTATAATGTATATTTTGTAAATGCAGAAACAGTATCTACTGCTTGGTAATCACTTCATGCCACAACATACACTCTTGTCTGCCTCCCCTTCTCAGTAACTTGTTTCTTTGCATATTTGTAGTAACTGCAGAATGTCCATCGTGTTAGGCTCTGCTGAGAAGTGCATAAACTATGCAGTCTATTTTAGCAGAGTGCTCTTGACTTACATCTTGATTTTTGGCCAAGTTGCATAGGTGAGGTTGTATTAGTTGTGTAAATGTGAAGGTTTAATATCAGGTCCCCTGCAAGAGCAGGCAGTTTATTATGGTATATCTGACTAATTGAAAGGGTGGAGAAAATCATTGGCAAATTTTCCAATTCTTCATTCTTTGTCTTTAGGCCTCCCCTCCAAGAATGAAAAATGACTGAAGACTCTCAGAGAAACTTTCGTTCAGTGTATTATGAGAAAATGGGGTTTCGTGGAGTAGAAGAAAAGAAATCACTGGAAATCCTCCTGAAAGATGACCCTTTGGGTGAGTTTTACATGCTTTGTTAAGCTTATAGATTCAGCTGGGTTTGGTGGTGCACACCTGTTATCCTAGCAACTTGGGAGGCTGAAGCAGGAGGATCAGAAGTTTGAGCCCAGTCATGGCAACCTAATAAGACCTTGTCTCAAAATAAAAATAAGAAAAAAGAGCTAGGATGTAGCTCAGTGTGAAGGTGCAGGGTTCAGTCCCCAGTGCCACACACACGCACACAAAGCTTGGCACACAAAGCTTGTTGGTTCTGAGTCATCTGTTATTCTGAACTAAATATTGCCCTCAAAGACAGGCAGGGTACTTGTTACATGTGGTATTCTTTAGTGATAGGACATCAGAATGGTATGTTTTGAGAAAAGTTCTAGAATTTTCAAATTTGTATTCCATTGATGGAAGTTTTTGCAAGGTCTTTGAAACAGTAACATTTGTCCTTATTAATCCTTTGTGCTTCTTCAGTTTACAGCTTTGTCATCGCCATCGCTTCTAGGTAAACTTACAGTAACTTAAGACTGCATTGTATATTGATGTTTTCCTTTATTTTAAGCTCATGATAATAAAGTCAGCTGTTAGTCAAAGCAGGATAAATTGAACCCTGGTAAAAATGCTTTATATGCATAGAATGCTATTTGCTTGTTTTTTTGTTTTGTTTTGTGTTGGAATCAAACCCAGGGCCTCACATTTGCTAGGCAAGTGTTCTACACCTGATTCCCCACCATAGAGTGCTTTTAAATTTCAGAAGTATTTCACACCTGATTTTTGGTTACGTTGAGTCCATATTTCAAATGCATCTGGCATAATAATGTTTCTTTGATAAGAAGAATTGAAGGCTGGTACTATTAAGTATAATTTTGGGGAGACTTAAGGGCTGATGCTACCACTTATCAGCTATGTTAACCTGGTGAATCACTGACTGCTTTGAGCTTCCGTTCTATATCTTCCCAACAAGTTCCCCAAATAAACTTGTCATGTGGGCAAAATGAGGTGAGTGATTAACTACCACTAACGTTATAAAGAAGGTAGTAGTATATGTAAAATGCAGCTCTTGTTCTAGAAAGCACTAACTGTTTTGAATAGCTAAGTTGATACCAGACCTGGGCTAGAAATCAGACTAGTATTGCCTTTCCTTCATTCGCTGACCATATGATAGACTTTCTCTGAAGAAATGTCTCAAATATCCTTTGAGGAAAAAAAAAAAAGAAAACAATGTGCTTATAAATATTTTACTTAGCATGAAGATCTTCTAACTAACTGTTTTTTCTTCCTCTAGATATTGAGAAACTTTGTACTTTCAGCCAGAGATTCCCTCTCCCATCCATGTACCGTGCGTTGGTATGGAAGGTGCTTCTAGGTATGAGACCTGGAGGGAGTTATCTTCAAAAGCACCGAATAATGGGGTCATTCGAGGCTAGGTCCTTTCCTGAGTCTCAGGTCTTCTTCCTCTGGAGCCTCTCTGTGAAAGGTGTTAGCGTGGTGACTTCAGCAGAAATACATTAACTGTTACCCTAGGAGTATCGGTGTATTAGTGATGGAAGACTAAGCAATGCACATTCCTGAGATGAGATGTGGGAGAACACTGGGCTGGTCTGCTCTTTGCTGTGAGCTGGGTAATCTGGAGAAAGAGGCCCCTGGGGCTCATCTTTCATATCCGTAGAGTGATAATATTGGGCTTAATTACTTAGCTTTAAGTTTGTTGAATTTTCTGCGATTCTCAGAATGGAGGTGCTACTCCCTCATGTGTGCTCATTCTCAACAACGAATCAGTTTTCTTTCCCTGAAGGTGTAAGTCCTGAGTACTATTGATGAGAAGGAAAACGGACTTCCTTAGTTTCTGTGGGGGGAAAAGTGCCACAGGAGTGACAGCACTATTTGGGCCCCTGCTTTTTTTTCCTCTATCCTTGTTGAGCCTCCTGAAGGGTGTAACACCCACAGTTACCACTCCTCCCTTTCTTCCCCAAATAGTCAGTTTGCTGTACTTGTAAGAGAACGGTGGGGATGAAGCTTTATGTGGGATGTGAACTGAGATTGCTGTTTAATGGGCCTCCCTGTGCGCCAGTTGCCAAGCTCCTCGACATGGAACAATCCTAGAATTCCCATGAGCCAGATCAGGAGACCCAGCTGGGAAGAAAGACCAAGAGGCTGTGTGCCTGGCCTCCGAGGGAGCTTCTTTGTCTGCAGATGACGGAGATCAAACCGAGGCTGTTTTGTAGAATTCATGGAAGGTCAGAGAGAGTATGGACTCTGTTTTCTTTTCCAAGTGGAGTATATTTTCAGGACTTGGAAACCTGAAGCCCTGAGTGTAGTTATGTGAGGCGGAGGAGACGGGATATACAGGCCTTTCTAGGAAGCCCTGCAGGATGCCTTTCTGTCGAGCATCTTGGCCGCCTTGTGTGCATCTGTCTGGTGGATCACTGTGCAGCTGCAGTCTACAGAAACAACTGCATGTTTTAGTTTTTCCCAGAGCATTCTCCCCCTAACTCTTTCTATTTCCACTACATCAGAATAAGTGCCCTCCCAGGTGCATGTTAGATGGTCCTGCCGACAGAGCCCCTTTTTTCTGGACTGTACTGTGTCTCATTAGTAGCTGCACCAGGTTGGTGGGGAATACACTGCTGTGCTTTGTGACATTTCCTGAGCACTGAGTCCTGTCTGGCTTGTTCATCACCTCTGTTTCCCAGGCCTTTTGCCATCATATAAGTGACTGCGATTTTTTTGAGGTGGAGACATTGGAAATTCAGTGCTTTTACAATATGAGAGGCTCGTCCTAGCAGAGGTTTGTGTGTTTGGGGTGTGTGAATGTGCACGCATGTGTGTGTTTCTTAGCAGATTGCTCAGGGATCTTTGAATCTCAGCCTCTTCCTAACATTTTAGGTAAATATCAGAAAGACTCTTTTTAGGACCAACCCTTGAAAAGTGGGTTAACATGGGAGCTGCCTGTAGTAGTGTGATAATGGTACCTCTGTTTAACCTGCGTTAACCCAGATTTGGAGGATGCTGGTGTATTCACTGGCTCGTCTAAAAGCCTGGCACAGAGCCCCAGAGGTATGGTGAGTCAAGGTTTATGTCAGCAAAAGGAACATTAGAGCAAGTCAGATGGCTGGGCACCTTTGAGCTCGCCTGCCTTTTGTTTTCCAGGACCTGGATCTGTGGTGTCTTACACTAGAGTAAGCTGCAGTCAAATGTAAGGCCTCGCACTGCTCCTAGCTTAGGGTGGCCAGGTCCTCTGCCGAGGGCTTTGCAGATGATGCTGACTTGTTTATTCGTCACAACAGCTGCCTGAGGGTGTGAATATTCCCACTCTTCACACAGGGAAGCTAAGCTGTAAGGAGACAGAAGACACTGCTGAAGGGCCCCCGGTCAGTTCATCACAGAACCAGAAATCAAACCCAGGAACTCTGAATCCAGAGCCTGTGCTTCTGTACAGCTGTGATACATTGAGTGAGGCTGGAATAAACAACTGTTCTGCCTTATAGCAATGCTGAGAGCTTTGCAAATTGACTGCCACCATTCCTCAACTCCATTCTACCATGATTTCCTTTTCTCACAAAGATGCTCGGGGCTTGGATTCTGCAGAGAGCATAGGTGAAATGCTTGTCTGTCCCATCTCCTGCCTCTGCTAAGTTAGGAAATGAGCCCAGAGGGACAGGCGTGTTGTCGAGAGTCCTGCAGTTAGCAGAGCTGAGATGAGAGTTTGGGGTTACTGAAGGCACGGTCCAGCGGTCTTCCCGGTATGTTTGTGTCAGTCGCTTTGAAAAGAGATGCAGTTCCTGTGGCAAAGCCTAATGAGCAGGTGCTACGTTGGGGAAAGGAGAATAAATGTCACAGAAACGCAGTAAGGTGACTTCGTCAGTGAAGATCAGGGACCGCTGTGGCCCTGAAGAGAGCCTGCTTTGTGAATTAGTTTTAATTACTGTGGGGAAGAAAGCTTGGATAGGCTGTTGGTTCTGAGATGTAGGAGGCCAAGTGCCAGAATTGGGGAGCAGGAGCACAAGGTAGTGCCAGCCTGGCAGCTGCCTTGTGGTTACTGTCATTCTGAAGTTGTGCAATGTGCTTGCTACAAGGTTTTCATCATGACAGTGCATTTTTCTTGTATGTCTGATTAAACACCATCATTCTGATACTGATAATATATGACATTCAGACTGTTCCAGTGCGAGTTTCTAAAAGAGAATCTGTGTGATAGTAAATGCATGAAGTCTGGTCCATCTGTGAGGCTGGATCTCACAGAGTTCTTTGTAATAGAGGGAAGGTGTGGACTGGCGTCTCAGTTTTCTGCCCTTTTTGTTCTGGGTCTTTGTAGGGATCCTGCCTCCCCACCATGAGTCCCACGCCCAGGTGATGATGTATCACAAGGATCAGTACTGTGACATCCTTCACGCCCTGAAGGTGATCCGCTTTGTCAGTGATGCCACCCCTCAGGTAGAGGTCTATCTTCGCATGCATCAGCTGGAGTCCGGGAAGCTGCCTCGAAGTCCCTCCTTTCCTCTGGTTAGTGAAAAAATTGCTTGATCCTTGACTCTGTCCTCCTTCTTCCCCATTACTGGGGATTGAAACCAGTGCCTTTGTCTTCAGCAATGTCCCCAGCGCTGCTTAAGACAGAGTCTGGCTGAGTTGTTAAGTTGCCCGTGCTGGGCTTAAACTTAGGATCAGCCTTCCAGAATGTTAACTTGGAACTGTCCATTTTGCCAGCCTTTGATTGCATCATGTTTAATTTTGAAATGGTCAGCCAAATGAAAGCAACCTGTCTTTACCTCTCCTCTGTCCTGTACATTCTGATCCAATCGACCTTAGTTGAAAAAATACATTTATTTCTAAATACTATAGTCATGCATTGCTTTCTGAAGGGGATGTATTCTGAGAATGTATCATTAAACAATTTCATCATTGTGTAAGCATTATAGAACATATTGACGAATTAGAGGACCATAGTGATCCTAGGCAATTTGGATTATTGGACCACCATCCGTATTTTGGGTCCCTCATTACTTAAAATGTTTTTATACATCACGTGATTATAATTTTAAAGGTACAGAAACATTGTGGGAATTCTACCAAGAGTCTTATACACCCTCCCCAGCTTTTAACTTGATGATGCGGGTTTTGCCAGTTTTCCTATATATGTGCATGTACTTTTTCCAAGCCATTTGCAAATAAGATGCAGACATGGTGTCTATAACCTCAGGTTCCTTCACTTCTAAAGATGACACCCTCAGTGGCACAGGGATCAAAACCGAGAAGACAGAGTTGGTGCAGCGTTAGCACCTGACCTATAGACTCTGTTCACGTTTGGCCAGTTTCCACAAATAAACAAAGTTCTGGCTGAGGATTCAACCTTGATTGTAGATTGCATGGAGCTGTTATATTGCTTTGATCACCTTTGCTTTGGGCCCATTTCCTCGTCTTCTCGTGCTGTCATGCCCCAATTCTGGACATTTTGGAGGGGTGTCGGTCAGTGATTCTGTAGCAGCCGCTCGCTGTGGGCTGACTGGTGCTATCTCCTGGTTATAACCGGGTTCTTTACTCTCAGCCAGAGAGCATGTGGGTGGTCACATCCAGAGGCACTCAGTGGGGACGGGTCCCTTGAAAAATTCACTTGTGCCTGCTGGGTTTTCCCCTGGAGATTTTTTCCCCTTTGTAATAATTACTGTGTCCCATTATGGAGAGACTTTAAAACTGCTGTGCACTCATCCTAGTCCTTAATAAACTTTTATCTGTGAGTTTTAACATCTGCTGCTGATTTTTTAAAACAGTTTTTTAACTTTCCATCTTTAAATACTTTTGGACGTTGAAAAAAAATAGTAACAGCATCACTCAGTACTCTCAGCTGCCTCGTCTCGTGTGACTGTGGTCTAATGATCAAAACCAGAAACTCGCCTTTGATTCTGCACTGAGAGCTGATCTCTAGAGCGTGCTGAGGTTTTGCTGATTGTTCCGCTGACGTGCTTCTTCTGCTCCAGAATCCAGTGCTGACCACGCCTTACCTCAAGTGACCCTGTCTTAGACTTAATATGGAATGGTTCCTCAGTCCTTCTTGCTCTTTCCTGAGCTGGACTCTTCTGAAGAGTGCTGGCCAGCAGAGCATTTCTGATGTTTCCATGTGATTAAAGTCTGGTTATGCACTATTGGCAAGAATACCACAGCGGTCCGATACCTGTTCCTGTTGCCGTGGCTTTGATCGGTTGATGAAAGTGGTGTTACAGGTTTCCCCACTGTAAAGTTACTATTTTCCTGTGTAGTTAATAGGTTACTGCAGGTGAGGTACTTTAAGACTTGTAAATATCCACCCATTAATCATTCTTGCCCCAAACAGTTTTTACTCTGCTGGTGGCCAAATAGTGAGCTTTTGCTTTCAGTCCTTCTGTATTTAATTGGTTTTCTTCCATAAAGAAGAGTTTCCCCCGCTTTTGTTTATTGATAGCAGTATGAACTTAGGGAGTCTTTTTCAATTCACTACTCTAGAATCCGTGATTGCTGTTACTTTTGGGGCTCAGGTTGTCCCACACTTGGCCAGTGGCGGCCGCTTCCAGCTGTGCTGTGCCTTTTTGGTAAGTTCGCATCAGTCTGAATGTTTCGATTCCTGCCCTTCTGCCGCAGCAAGGTGCTCCAGGCTCACTGTGTGCTCTCTGTGCTGTAGCTGTGTGTGCAGCTCCACTTCTTTTTGGAGGGAAGTGTGCTAATTAGAAACCAAAAATAAGACACCATGTATGTTCATTACTGTAGGCCGTCATTATTTCTAGACTGTCTAGCAGACAGAGGTAGGAAACACATGCACATACACACACTCGCACACCTGTCTGTGTATCTGTGTATGTGTTGTATGTGGGTGGTTTTTGTTGTTTTGGGGGTTTTTGGCAGTGGGGATCTAACCTGGCTTCACACTTGCCAGGCATGTGCTCTGCCACTGAGCTGTGCCCCCAGCACCTGTATTAGGTGTGCTTGAAAACACTGTGAATGGTTAAATTGAAAGATGTTTATTACAGTGAGAGACACGTTGCCGTTAATCCTCCCCGTGCTCATGCACACTTGTCCCGTCGTTCTTGCCACGTTCTGAGAGGGGTCTGGACGTCCTCTCTCCTGAGTGCCCTTCGTTGTGCTGTCATGGTTGCTTTGAAATTGTGAGTTTATTCAAAGTCTCATGGTCATTTTTGAGGAAGATCCAGGAGTCTCGTGGCGCAGATCTGGTGAAAAGGTGAAGGGGGCACACTTTCACGAGCCTGCTTTCCACTGAATGGCCCTTGGCAGCAGCGTTCACTGCATTTCTGGTGTTACCTCCTTAAAACACTTAAAACAGGAAAGGGGACTCCAGAACTGCTTCAGAAAGGGGCGAGAATAATAGGAAAAGTGTTTAAAGCAAGGAGAAAAACACTGGCAGATGTTAGTGATAGTGGCTATACTGAAATGAATTTTTTAAAAAAATTAAATGTTACCATACCTTTGTGTCACACCCTGCATGTTATATATGCATAAGTGTATATAATCATATACCTACATATATATATCTGTATGTAAGGGTAAAACTTTGAGTTCCTACTGATGTGTGATTTCAGTCCAATGTGACAGACTCCTTCCACCTTATACTCTCTCCATATGTGCAGCCCCCTTTGACAGGACAAGTAGCGGAAGGCCCTCATCATGCCCGGGTCGTTCATACTCTGCTTTCCTTGCTTATTTCCTGTGTGTAATCAGCACCACTAACCACCTCCGCTTTGAACTGCAGGTGCCTCTGTCCTCCGCCCTGGACCCGCAGGTGGCAGGGGTCCCTGGCTGCTTCTGCACCCTCCTGAGCCCTGACCCCTCAGCCTCAGCCTCTTTCTTGGCCTTGCCCACCTTTCCTGCTGCTGTCACCAGCTCCCAGCCACTTTGTTAACTTCATCTAGCAAACCGCTTACTCCAGTGACTTGGTTATTTGCTATTAGGCAGTGGAAGAGTAAGTGGGTAAGCAGAGAATAGTTGTAGATTTCAAGCTTGAGCTTTTTTCTTGCAGTTCTCACTAGGCATTTTAACTAAGGTTAGTTTGTTTGTTTGGCTAAAACAGAGTAAATGGTTCAAACAGGGAGTTGCTTGCAAATTTTGCTGATCCCGAAAATCTATTTATTGGCATACAGGACTACAATTTGTAATAAAAATATTTATTTTTAGTTTTTTAATTTAATGAGATGATAGTCATGCGCCAGTGTTGGAGCTAAAGGTCATCTGCTTTTATTAAAAATTTATCGAGAGAGAAAGATTCCCTAAAAACTAATTGGCGCTTGTCATAATCTCCTGTACGTGTCATTTTATCATGGCACAATGAAGCTGCTAGTACTGCACGAGTCCTTAAGTCGCATATGAAGTTAGGATAATCTGTTAGCTCCAGAAATGTGAATGATAGTCACAGCTTCTGCCTCAGCTTTACCCAGCTTGTCCTGTTCACAACCCAGACAGGGACTCACTTGCTATTTGAGTGTGTATGAGGGTCCCTGTTTCCCCAGTGGCCAAGCCCTGCTCCTCCTTCACCCATCCATTAATAAGAAAGCATGGCAGTGCTTAGCCAGAAACACGGCCAGCCGTATGACATTGGTCCTCTTCCCTGCACAGGCAGAGCTGGTGACTTTGGAGGGCATCCAGCACAGGACCCAGGATTGGGTGGGAGTCTAAGAAAGGTTTTTCTTCCTTTTTTCTTTCTTCTCTCAAATATCGATGCTTGGAAAAATTAATTTCCTATGATTCTATTCTCAATATTTTATAGAACATTGACATGACAAGTTGAAAGAAGGCCTAAAAATGAGACACTGATTAAAATAGGAATTTTGGTGTAACGTAGGTTTTTTTAGGCAAGTAGAAAGATGCTTCTTAGTTTTGTTTTAATGTTCAAATCCTTCAGCTGTGAAATCATATATGAAAATGTAAAGCTTTTTATGCGTGATTACAGTGTTGGAAAACAAAATGGTTTTCCAGATAAGGTTCCATGTGTTTGTTTGTTTTTGCAACCCCTCAGAGCCTTTGCCATATAGAGTGCAAGTGCTCTAATATTGGGCCAAATCCGTCCAGGTTGCAGTTTTATAAGATTTTTCTGGTGAAATTTACTTAAGGGTTTACTTTCATGTTCTGAGTATTGACACATATTCTCTTGATTCCTGAAATTCTGGTTTGTTCTAGAGACTTTTAAATTTAGGTGCTTAAAGACAGGATAGAATTCTGAAGATGGGCTGGTTGTGGTGGCAAACACCTGTAATCTCAGCATTCAGAAGACTGAATGAAGCAGGAGGATCACTGTGAATTCAAGGCCAGCCTGGACTACATACTGAGTCCAGGCCAGCCTGAAGTATGTGGTGGGACCCTGTCTCAAAACAGACAAATGAACAAAAACCAAACTGCCACAAAAAAAATCCTAAAGGAGTATGTGAATGCTTTGAAATTACACAAATGCCCTAGCCATCCTTCTGAAATCGTTTAATATTTACAGATTGCTGTGTTGACAGGAAATTCTGCTCCAGCACCGCAAACGTTTTGCTGGGGAGTCAAAGAGTTCCTCACGGTTTATGTTGGCTTTGTGGTGAGCTCAGTGTGGGAAGGTGGAGACTCCCTAAAAGCAAGTCCTTCATCAGCAGCGTGGATTCAAATAGAGTTCTGTAGCCGCTCCTCCTCCCACGCCGCTCTGTGCTGATGACTGCTTTCTCATCATACTTTGATTTATTCGTGCAGCTTTTCCAAAATCTAGGTGGCAAGGTTTCATTTTTACTGAAGAACCATGTCTTCCTCTTTTCTCCCGCTCTCTCCTGAGATGTTTTATGAATCTTTCAGGAGCCAGAAGATGAAGTGTTTCTTGCCATTGCTAAAGCCATGGAAGAGATGGTGAAAGACAGCGTTGACTGCTACTGGATCATCCGATGCTTTGTGAACCAGTTAAATAACAAGTACCGGGATTCTTTGCCGCAGCTGGTGAGGAGTGTTTTTGGCTAATTTGGGGTGGGCAGTGGTGTTAACGATCATCTGAGAGAACCTACCCACCTGGTGCTGCTGTGATTCTGAGTGGAGTCTGTCTGCAGGGCCCAGGAAATATGTTCTGGGAAAAGCCAGACAGTAAACATCTCCAGCTGGGTGGGCGGGCGGGGGTCTCTTGCTGTCAGTCAGCTCTGCTGTTGGAGCACAAAGGTAGCCAGGGAGAGGTGCTATAGAGTGACAGGCCTGGAACTGCACCCGCACAGACTACGTTGTGCCAACACTTGGCCTGTAGTGTTCCCTGTCCAGGTCCAGAACCACTAGCTTTATCTAGAATTGATCGCTCTACCTGCGAGAGTTAGGGTTTAAGTTTGCTGGCATGTGTATATAATGGAAGACCCAAGCAACAGGAGCCTGTTTTCACTCCTATAACCGGAAGTCCAGAGGTGAAGCAGACCTCAGTTCATTCTGCGGCACCGCGATGTGGGTTCCTGTCATCTTGCTCCAGCATCAGACACAGTCCTTCCACTCTGTTGGTCCAACAGCCATGATATCCCTGTTGTAGGCAAGAAGGAAGGGAAGGGTAAAGATACATGAGAAGGAGGAAATAGGGCGAGCCAGTGGAGTCGCAAGCAGGGTTTTCTTCCGCATGTGCACAGCTGCTGCTCAGCTCACGATGGGCTGCATCCCGGGAGGCCTTTGTAAGATGAAAAGGTGGTTCACTTCACCTTCTAAACATCAGCGTTTCACAGCCACCGTGTGGGTGGTTTCCTCATGATTATGTGTCTGGGCAAAACAGTGTGCGGCCATGTACCAGCAGCCTGAGAAAAGATCCAGATTCAGAATTCAGCCAGCACTTTCTCCTGCATGCATCGCTTTCATGCTGCTGTCAAGTTAAAAAATCTGCAGTCAGATTGTGGGGAGTCAGGGCCAACAGTACTGGTGGCCAGGACGGTATCACTCAGCTTCCTTCTCTGCAGCAGAGGCCGGGAAACACAGTTTTTAAGAACCTGGTGCGAGACGATCTCCAGGCAACACACTGATTCTCTTGGAGAGGAAGGTGTGGGGAGAAGGGGAGCCCTGAGTGCCCAGTGGCTTTCCATTTGTGGCATACTCCTTGGTGATTCTCTTCTTTCTAGTCCCCCCTTTTTATTTCATTTATAAAAGTGAGTATTTTTTCCTATGTCACTGAGTTTCTTTGAGAACACTACGAAAGTAGTAACAGTGAGCCAAGCTGCCAGGGAGGGGGTTCGTGAAGAAGGCAGGCGAGCTCTGAGGACCACGGCAGCCACTGCATGGTCTGTTTCCTGAAGGGGCGGAAGCCAGGACCCTCCAGCGTTGCTTCTTACGAGAGCACTTTTCATATATTTTAATTACATAAAATTTGATTTTAGGATTTTCCACTTAGTTGATTTCAATAAAAATGCTATTAAGCATGAAATTGGAGCATAAGTAAATATAATGTTTGTTGTCTAATTAAACCAGGAAGTCTTAATCGTACCATGATTTAATTGGCTTTTCTTATTTAATATTAGAGTAAGTTAGCATTTTGTTAAGTTATGCTATGTCCAAAAATTCATTTTGGGAAACCTAAGTAATAAATGAGTACATTCTCAGAAGAAATTAAACTATCTGGATGAAGCCATGTTGCCCTAGATCCAGACCAGCACCCCCGCTCCTTCCTAAGCAGTGGACATGGTCTCGGGCCTGGGGGGTGCTCTTCTAGACCTTTCCCTCCTGCAGATGTATAAAGTGACTAAAGTGACTCTTTTAAAAAGTGACTTTTTAAAAAAACACATAAGCCTCATACTGTGCATACAGCCATATAATTCTGTTTTTTACTTGGAGAAATTTGCAGGTATATCCAGATAGATCACTATTTTTCATTCTTGATTCCCTGTTTGTATATCTGGGAGCTTTTAAAAATTTCTATGGCTTTCCCTCCTCCACTGGACCAGTGAAATCAGAATCAGGTGGGGCCCTGAAATTCTAGTTTTTTAAAGATTTCAGGCAATTCTGAAGTGTGGTTATGGTTGAGAGCCACTCATTTAGAACTTTTTTTCTATTTTATTTATAGTACTTCCTGTAATGAATCTGCCCTGTGAACAACCATATACACCCACAGGCCACTGTCTTTGTACACAGTTGCCCTGTACACAGTTACCCTCTAGGTAGCTCTCTAAAAGGGAATGCATGAGTGGAGGGAGACATTTAAAATCTGTTTGCTAAAGGCCCTATCAATTTGTGGTCTCCCAAAAAGAGTGGATGTTTCCTATTTCCCACTCATTGCCAGTAACTATGTGTGTGAGTGTGATTCATTGGCCCCATTTCATCACCATCTCTTTGTCTCATTCCCCCTTCTTTACACCCTAATCCCACTTTACTTCTTCACCCTCCTCTTTCCCCTCGATTGTGGTCCACCCAGCTCACCCCACCTTACCCCATCCTATCCTTTCTGTCTAATCTAATCTAATCTAATCTAATCTAACCTAACCTAACCTAACCTAACCTACTGGAGACCAACCAGTACCATTGCAGGTCTTTTTCAGCTCCTTAGAATGCCTGAATCATGACATGGACTTTGCTGAGGCTGCTGAATGCTGCTGAATGTGCTCGTGCAGTCAGCACCAGGATGACCGACTTCTCTTTTGCCTGGGGTTGGCCCGGGCTAAGTATTGAAAGGGTCTGTCCCAGGAAAACCCCTCTGTCCAGGATGGTGGGACTGACCTGGAAGCTGCTGTATCACTCCATAGCAGTGGTGGCAAATCTCGGACAGCTCTGCAGTTTTGTGTTCTAGGCCTTCCTTGCATTCAGCATGCACATTGTTTTTTCATCACAGGCTGTAACATCAGGTGACGTCATGTCACAGGAAACGAGTGACCTCTCTTGCTGTTTAATCTCTAGCCAAAGGCTTTGGAACAGTACTTGAATCTGGAAGACAGCAGGCTGCTGAATCATCTGAAGTCTTGTTCTGCAGTGTCTAAGCTGCCCTACGATCTTTGGTTCAAGAGATGCTTTGCGGGGTGCCTGCCTGAATCCAGCTTGCAGAGGTTAGTGTTTCTTTCCCAGACACACTGGGGGCCTGGAGTCAGGGAAGAATCCTGGCCTTTGCCATGATTGCCCCTCAGTCTATAAATTTGTCTAGCACAGATTTGAAGCTAAATTCTCTAGCAGCTATTATAGCAGCACACGATTCAGCTTATTATTCAACATACACTTAGAAAGATTGAGCACTTGTGTATTAGGTGCTCTACGATAGTCAGTCTGAAACAGTGTCCAGAAGTTGATACAAGCAGGAAGTCTTCTTTTCTAGAACTGCAGTAGGTCCTGATCTCATTGAAATCTTGGTATTTGTGTTTCTTCGTGGTACCTTTAAAGGAAACAAAGGTACTCAAAGAGCTTCGACCCCAGCCTGCTTTTCTGAGTTGGTTTCAGGTGCCTGGGGTGGGCATGTCTGAGTCCTGGCCCTGCCCCTCAGGCCTCATGGTTGGAAAGAAAGGCAGTGCACAGGGAGTGTGAGAACACAGCGCAGAACTGAATGCATAGACCAGTGATGTCGAAAGCTTTTAGGGACACGCACCCAAGCTGCAACCCAGAACCCACGAATGTATCGGAAAGTGCCAACACGACAATTAAACCTGACGATTGGGGTTTTAGTTTAGAAAACAACAGCTCACGTATTAACATCTTCAGTTTTAAAAGAAAAACAGTATGCCTACCATAGATTTGCCACCACTGCTATGGATAACCATGCCAGCTTCAGAAGTTTTAGGAGTTAATAGAATTCTTAGATCAGGATGGATCAGTAACTCTCCTTAAGCCCGTAAGAGACACTTAGGGAATCTGCCCCCATGCTCACGGGTGGTGAAATCAACTTTACCTCACATTTCATATGCTGCTGTGCTCGCTTATATGCAATAATTATATGAACATTACAGAATAGTAACAAAGCATGAATTTTAGTTTAGGACTTCTTCATTCCTTGAAAATGTCAGGTTTTCGGTATGAGGGAGTAGGCATTTGGTAGATTCTGAGGAGAGCACAGTGTGTGTGTGTGTGTGTGTGTGTGTGTGTGTGTGTGTGTGTGTGTGTGATGCTGGGACCAGAACACGGGCCTTGCACGTGTGAGGCAAACACGCTGTCACCATCCCGAGCAGTGGTTTCTAGTGAACTTTTTTTTTTCCTTCTAATGCTAATTGTGTCTGGAGTAGATTTCAAACGGCTCATCTGTTTTGTTTCTGATAATTATTTCATAGTCATCCCCTGAGGCTTTTACTTAAAGTAAGAGTAATGTGATCTTGTTTTCTAATTTGAAGGCATAGTTTATGTTTACGAGTAAACATGGATTTCAAATCCACGTGAACTGATTATATCTCTTTACTTTTGTAGGGTTTGGGATAAAGTTGTAAGTGGATCCTGTAAGATTCTTGTTTTTGTAGCTGTGGAAATTTTATTAACCTTTAAACTAAAAATAATGGCATTGAACAGTGCAGAGGAGATAACAAAGTTCCTGGAAAATGTAAGTGTGCATTATTTGATTTGATCTTGACTCCAGAAATGAAATCTGCTCAGCAAGCCAGATTTTCCTACTGCATTACCTTATTGTAGAGAAATAATACCAGATATTTGTATTTCACAAAAAACACTTTTCTCCCCGAAAAGTGGCATGAAGTTGTTGGCCTGGGGATTATACTTCGTGTCCTCCTCTCTTTGGGGGGAGCTGGCAGAGCTGAGGCCGCTGCCCAGCTTGCAGCGGGGCACAGGGCCTTGTCCCCTGGGATGGCCAGCAGCGTGTGAGGAGGAGGAGGAGGTGGAGAAGGTGAGATCTCACTGCGATTTGTGTCAGTGGAAAAAAGATCGTGTTGTTTGGGGGAAATTTTAGGCCCTTTCATTTTTGTTACTATCACCAATGTGTGCTACCAGTTGAGTTTGCATCATCTTAGTGGATGCTGAAAAAGGTCTCAAAGAGCCAGCTCTTCCTCTGTGTATTTTGGGCTCCTCACCTAGATAAGAGGTGGAGGAAAAAAATATGTCATGGATGAGACCCAAAATCTGTGCCCCCTGTAATGAGTCTGTATAAACATCTGGACAGTGGTCTGGTAACCCTAAATAATCAGTACTCAGTACCTGTGTTCCCTAGATGAATCCTCCTCCTCCTCATAATCAGTGGGCAGTAGTGCCAGCGCCTGCTTACCTCTTGTCATCCTATGAGCAGCTCTGTGAGGTCAGGTGTCTGTCCCCTCCTTACAGATGGGGCTCTGGGCTACAGGGAGCTCTGGGAACCTGCCCAGGGCCTGTGGTCAGTGGGCAGCACGGGGTTTGCACTTGGGCCAGCACAGCCTCACACTGGAGCTGCTTGGCATGTCCTCAGGTGCTGATAAAACAGTTCTATGTGATCACGTTCTGAAAAAGAGTGATTGAAAGAAGACCCTAAAGTTACAAACCCAGGCACTTCACCCAGGTTGCTTTGCTGTTTGCAGATTCCCCGGGACAGCTCGGATGCCATTGTGAGCAAGGCCATCGACCTGTGGCACAAACACTGTGGGACCCCAGTGCATTCGGCCTGACCCCTGCCGGCGCTGTAGCCAGGCCCCAGAGCCCCCTTGAGCCCTCTGTTCTTGTCACCTAACCTGCCCCACCAATTGCAGTGGTCCTGTTCTGGTGCTCAAAGTGCAATGTTTTTTCAGTAAAATAATTTAGTTAAAATGCCTGGGGTTGCTGTGTTGCAGAGCATCTTTTGGTTGCAACAGGCAGTACAGAATTCTCCTGGGAACGGCACGTTTACGCATCATTAGAAAATGCTTCCGGTCAATAGAGCAGCAGACCTGGGGAGCAGGTGCATTAACCCCTGGTGCAGCACTGGCCGGGCCCCTCTGGTTAGCACCAGCCCGGTTCCCTTCTGGAATAAAGTGACCAGGCCAGTCTACTTTCTGGAATAAAGAGTGACTTCCTCTTGTTGACACCCCAGACTTGGCTTTGGTTGATGCTGAGCTGGTGTGAGTGTGAGCTGACTGCCTTCGCAGCGTTCACCTTACCTTTATTTTGCTTCTCTTTGTGCCAGTTGGGACAAAGCCTTTGTTGAACAAAATACATCTATAAATTTACCAACAGCGACAAAGCACTTGTTCTGATGTTTTACTGGATTTCTGCTCTTTCCTGATGAGTCACTAAGTTTCGGGATGGGCTTTGGGGACCCCTCTGCTACACACAGAAGGAGCGGGGAGATGCTGGCCGGTCAAGGTTAATAGCTGATGACCCTCGGGCCATATTGGGCCACACAATGGTCATATTCATGGGACAGTGTGGACTTCGCTTTGCCACTGGTGAGTGCAGTGGGCCCTTTGTTTCAGGTCACTCAGCTGTCAGACCTGCAGGAGCCTCAGCTGTGACCTCAGTTCTGCAGCCTCCTCCTAAATGAGGACGGAGACAGTGAATTACGGAGATGGAGTTCTGAGAGTCCAGTTCCTCCCTCCTGCATGAAATACCTGTTGAGAAAGCATTCAGAGAAAACCGAGTTTCGAAACCAGCTGTACTTCTTTCCAGTGGCAGGTCTCAAACATTTAATTTTTAAAAACAGACCACAAAATCCACCTAAAAGAGAAATCTCTTAACGCCAGACTGCTAAATTAAGATTAAAAACGGACTTCGGCCCATAGTGTGAGACACCAAACCTGTGCTCCAGGACCTGGGAGGATGTGTGACAAGGGGAGGGCATGAAATGGAAGTAATGGGACTTAGATGTAGGAGCTGCTGTCCTTTCCACAAACTTTTAGTAAGATAGAAGCCATGAAATTGCCTGGTCTTAGTGAGTTCCAATTCCAAGAAGGAGAAACGGAATTAACACTCCGTCTGCAAAAGTGTAGTGTGAAGCCTGTGCTTGGAGTGCTCTTGCCTGGATGCTGGGAGGAGACAGGCGGTGTGCAGGACCTGAGCTTCCCTGGGGGAGGAAGCCAGGCGGAAGTGCTTGGGCTGTGGGAGGAGGCTGGGCGGAAGTCCTCTCCCTTCACGTGCTTCACTGAGGTCCACATGACCTGAAATGCACCGCACTACTGCTCTTCTGTTGGGAGACCAAAAACACCTGCAACTATATTTTATCCACCTAGTTTGCCAAAGTAAAACCTTTCTGGCCAAAGGACGTGGGATACAGATTTTGTTTTATTCTTAAATAAGACCATGTGGTAACATCAAGAATTCATCCCCCACATAACTGTAATTGCAGCACTCAGGAGGTTGGAGCAGGAAGATAACCTGAAGTTTGAGGCCAGCCTGGTCTACTTAGCAAGACCCTGTTTCCAAAAAATCAATAAAAAAATTCCTACAAAACCAAAAATTAAAAAAAAAAAAAAAAAAAGCTTATTTGAAAACTAAACAGCAGCGGATTTTGAAGGCCGTGTCTGAGGGCAGTGAGTGTGCACATGAGGACCCGGGTACTCTCGTACCAGGATTTTACTTTGAGGACACGGTACTGAGTTTCTGCCGCTGCGCTCGGTGAGGAGCACAGTTCCTAATAATGCCCACGCTGCCTTTCTTGAGTACATTTGGTCAGGAAGCTGTGGGATGTTGTCTGCCTGTGGGAACCCAGACTGTTGGTATTGTGGGTGAAATGTGGGTTCTCCCTCTCGGTTGGGAAATGGGAACTTAACACGAGAATTTTAGTTTCTGCTCTTCCCCTTCTAGAAATGTGACACAGACGGGACAGCATACTAGTCTAGGAGGTATTAAGCACCAAGATCACGGAGTGTGAACATGCAGAGAGTGTGGTGTGTGTGGGGGATGTGTGTGGACCTGTGTGGGTGTGTGTTGGGGTGGTCCCTGGTGTATGCGGACTGCATTGTATAGGGTGCATGGCTATGTGGAATGTGATGTATGTCCATGTGAGTTGTGTGTGGGGGAGGTGGTTTGTGTGATGTGTAGGCACGTGTGCTGTGTGTGTGTGGAGAGGGGCCTGCATGATGTGTGTGGAATGCATACACATGGGGGTAGATGCACATGGAGGATCTGTGTGTACATGTGTGGAGAGTGTTGTGGTCTGTGTGTTTGGTGTATGAATGGCATATGTGTGGAGTACATGCATGTGTGGGGTGTGCGCCTGTGTGGGGAGTGTGTGTGCAGCTGAGCGTGTGCAGCTGAGCATGTGGCCTCGTCTGTTGCCCACTTGCAGACAGACTGTAGGCACACAGCTGGCTGCGAAAGGAAGCCACTACAGGAAACTCGAGGGAGTGTGTGAATGAAGAGCTTTGCTCATGGAAAGTTCCAGTGACCGCGGTCCGTGAGTCCTGTATGTTGAAACTGCAGCTCCTCAGCTGACCAGCCGTGAGACCTGCCTGTCCTGCTTTGAATTGCCCGTGTCTCCCATGTGACCCGAGGCTGGTTCCTTGTCTCTCCCAGAGAGAGCAGAGTAGGCGGGGAAGGCCGTGGGAATGTGGAGAAGGGACACGGCTGGGCTGCAGCCTGGACTCATCTCTCACTTGATGCCCAAGTGACCATGCTGAAGATGCCAGTCCAGGATGCCCTGGGGGCCAGGCGGCGAGCGTGTGGACTCAGCAGTGTCAGGCCCTGCACTTGGGCCCCCTGTGGCCACAGAGTGGGGACGGTTCTGCATTCTGGCCTTGGAGAGGCCCACATGCCTTCCTCTGCCCTTGTTCAGGGTGGGCAGGAGTGTGGGAACTGTGGGCAGGACTTGGTGGCATTCCCTCTGGTGGCTGAAACGAAGCCATTTCTCCTTGGAACTCTGCCAAGTGAAACTGCATGTGGCTCTTGGCACAAGCCCGACCTCCCCCCGCCCCCCCCCAGCTGTTGCTCATCCAGCGCTGGCCCCGGGGTGAGTGGGAGGGATGGGCAGGTGAAGGGCGGGGACAGGCAGTGGGGCCCCGGAGGGCTGGAGGGAGGGTGCGGCCTGCCTGCCTCCTTCACCTCCTTCCCCTTTCCCTTATGTCTTTTCATCTCTCTCTCCTCCCCTCTTGTCCTTGGGGTGCGGGTCTGGGTCCCCATGAGGGAGGGAGGCACCAGGAGGAAGAGAGGCTTTGGAGGAGTCCCTTCTCAACGCCACAAGGCTGCTTCCGCCTCCTCTTCCTCGCCAGCCGGTTGGTTCAATGCCTCCTTCCTTGGTTTTCAACTCAGTGATGGACTAAACGTGACTTCACTCCTAATTATGAGCCAACCCCTGTGCACTTAATTGCTGGAGGCTACATAACATACCTGCCCTCTGGGCGCTTACAATCCTGCTGGGAAATCAAGTACTAACCAAGGCTGGGTTCAAGAGCATCTCTCACCCCTGAGCTTCCACACAGTGGGAAGGCGAACCCAGCTGGCCTGGGGGCGTCAGGAGAACGGGTTCCAGTGACACAGAGCTGCATGGTTCTGTCCCTTCCTTCCTAGTGATAGAAGAGTTGACAGAGTGCCTCGGTGGGGGAAGTCCCGAGGCTCTGCCCCACTCTGTGGTCCATCACTCCATCAGTTTCCTCAACCTTGAACTGGGAGTGTTACCTTTCTTTCCTCTGGTCACTCGAGGTTACTGTGGGTGTGACTGTACCACCTCTATTGCAGTCCGTTGTGTCCATCAAGGCCCTGTCAACTTGCAAAAGTTGCTTGTAGACTTCATAGCTGAAAGTGCAGTTTTCTTCCTTTGACTTTCTGCAATGCTTCAAACACCTCTCATTTAGCAACAATGGGAAGTGTCTTAATTGGATTGTCTTGAATTATGTGTGTGGTGCTAAAGCCCAGAACTTTGTGCATGCTACATCCCCGGCTTTATTGTTTAAAAATATATTTTTAAAGATGACATATAGTGATTGTACCACCTGATGGGATACCAGGGAGCATTTTAACACATGTATATAATGTATATTGACTAGGTCAGTGTAGTTGACCTATCCACCAGGAGAAACATTTACCTCTTCTTTGTGTTGGGATCACTTAAAATCGTCTCTGTCAGCTGTTTTCAAACAGTTCATGTGGTCAACCACAACCCTCCTGCTGTCCTGTAGAACGGTAGAAGGGGCCCCTCCTACCCAACTGTGGCACAGTCCTGTGAGCAGCTTCTCTCCCAGCTCCTTCCCTCCCTGTCTTCAACTTTGCATGACACATGTGACACTTTCCACAAGGCATCCCCCTGAGACACAAGCTTTGTGAGGTGGGCTGTGTCTGGTTCCCTCCACACACCTTGCTTTCCCCTTGGTCTGGTTCCTAGCGTGGCACCTCCCTGACCCTGCTATCCTGTGCCACTTTGGACACCCCGTGCTCTTTGCCAGGAGCGTGCTCCCCTGTGGGCTCCGCCCTTCTTGAATATTCAGATAGTGTCCCTCCTCCACATGCAGCTTCCTGTTCTCTGCCTGGGGCTTCTTTCCTCCCCTGACGTGGTTGGTGTCCTTTTCACCACATTTAACTTATTGGCTTAGACAGATCTATTTATGGCGCATGCTGGGCTTCGAGCTCCCCAAGGGTGGAGATCGTGTTGGATTCTTCCTTTGTCCCCATGCTGGGCACAACTAGCCTATGTGGGTTCTCCATGAATATTTGTTGAGTGTCTGAACACCAAACTTGGTGTTCAGCTTCCGTCAGATAAGTCACAGACTTGTCCCAAGGTACCTCACCTAAAGGAGATTTTAGTATGGAACAGAGGCAGGGCTGAGGATGCAAGCAGGGGACCCTGGGAAGCTGGGTAGGACTCAAGAGGCGCTGGACCCCCTTAGTCTCTTATGTTTGATCTGCTGAGTGTCTTCTCCCTCTGTAGCCTGGGTCGCTTTAAGGAAGACACCTGAGTGTTACACATGCAGCCTCTGGTCCCAATGCCTAAATCTACAGGAGTAGACGGGGTGGGGTGGGGCCCAGCTTGGGTTCGTAGCCAAAGAGTGACAAAATAGCTCCCCACCACCATGTGACAAGGCAGGGGCACTACTGAGGGGTCCACTGTGGAGTGGGGAGACCCCCTCAAAAGCTTTCATCCCCTTTAGTGAGATACATGCCCCTTGGAGCGCAGGGGATGAGGAGCCTTCCTCCTTGGCTAAGTCTGAGTGGCTATTTCTGCACTTCTTGATTTCTGCCAGTCATTCTGTAGGCAGGTAGGCAGGGCCGGCCCTTTTACATGGGAGTAGGCCAGGGGGAAATCCCACCGGCCGC